ATATTGTCTTTGAGAAGTTTGTTCTGCCTTTTCTTGTACATAAACAGATGACTTCCGTCACCATACAACATTTCCTAGAAATGCTGAAATGTCTTATCACATTCTTTTAAGACTGATTTCCTTCCGTTTCTACCTGTTCTCCAAATTTTATTTTGGCATTGCTCAAACTTTATGCCCTGTGACCTCTTTGGTTTTTTTGTGTTCACGTACTTTATGCTGTGTGCGCTCATTTCTGTATATTTAAATTTAAATTAATTCTTTCTTTTTAATATTCTGTACAGATTAAAAATAAATCCATCCAGATCTCTACTCTGTATTAAATGTGTTATTCTAGTTTATAGTTAAGCTTTTTTAAAATTACAGATATGATTGCCATATTTTTCTTGAGTATAAAGAAACTTGGTATTAATGTATTTTAAAGACTTAAGACTTAATTCAACAGAAAGTCTTTGAGATCTCCATTAGATCCCATTAATATATGAAAACATGTAGTAAATTTTGGAGAAATTATAGAAATTATTCAAGATATTATCTCTGAAAAAGTAATAAATTACATATGCCTGTTTTTAAGTTTCATATCTGCACTGTATGTTTCTTACTAATAATTTGATATTATCCTTCTTCTTCTTCACTGTTTCATTAGAAAATTTTTCTGCATTTTTTTCGCTCTTAAGAATTAGGCAGCTATTCTCTTTTAGACACACAGCCCAGTTCCTGGTAGAACCACCTTTTTAATGAGTTTGTGTATCTCTACTCTCACTACGTTTGTCAGATTTTCTACACTTTTCTGCTGTAAATTGTTTTGCTGTCCTCACAGACCTTTCCAGATTGTTTAGCTCTGCTAACTCCTTCCAGGAATAATGAGATCTGTTAACCTGAACATGTCTTCCAGCACTGAAGTCCCTTCTTTATTCTACCTAATAGATGTGTATGAAGTACTATAAAGCAAAGTACTTGCAAAGCAGTACTAAATGAAGAAGGGTAAAGGACAAACAAATCAGAGATGTGGAAATACACTGAGACAAGTATACAGGCAAGGACAGGAATGTAGGAGATGAAATATTGCACATTTGGAGATGGCAAGTCAGGAGGAATTTGAAGGTGATGGTAATATTGGTAACAAACAAATAGATTATGATAGAGAGAGAGTAATGAGAAGGATGTCATAAAATGGAAAAATATGTTTCATGCTAGAACTAATAACTGCATATATAGTGTCTGCAGGACTTCAGAAATTGTGCTGTTTCCACAAAACCTGCAGCAAATTCTTTGTTCTCTTGACCTTTTTTTCCTGCATCAATTTCTGTTACCTTGCTTTAACATGCTTCCTGTTCCTCCAAATGTATATACAGTGCTGGGTGAGTTGAAATCTGCCTCCATGTCACTGTCTGGGCCCAGCAGCTAAGGCTTTTTTATGCTCATTCAGCTTCCTAGTTCAGACTCAAGTTTATTCAAAAACAATGCATCTCCACTATAGATCTGTTTTACACCATACCACAATTCAGCGCTGAGTATTTTCATGCATTACATAGCTTGCTTAGTGATTGTAGCTTAAAAATTTCTTACACAAGTAAGCAGATAACAATGTCTCCTTTTCAGTATCATGGTATTCCATGATGAGTTCAAAGCCAAAATAAAAGTTTTAACTTTAAATAGGTTCTCACAGTACCATGTAAACAAATTAATTATGACAAATAGAAATTCGTTTGTTTGTAGAGGAAACAGGCTGAAGGAGAAAGCATGCTGGGGATTTCTAACATGGCTGCTGTGTTTCTGAAAAATTGCCCCCCCCCCATTTTGTTATTCAAAAGAATAAATAGTCCTCACC